AACATTGATTTTGGCATATCATTGATATTAATTAAATCATGAATTAATCATTAAGCTCTAATTTTTTTTACAGAATGTTAAGTTAATTATAGGCCTAATTTACAGTAACACATAGGTACAGGTAGACACAGGATGTGTGATTTGCTTATGGTTGTGAAATGAGGACATTATTATGCCTAAATATGGATGTGATATGACACCATATATTGGCATTCCACACAAGTTTGCCACATAAAGTGTGGATCGAGCTTAAATCAATCATAGGCCTACACATTTTTTATTCCTTCATGATAGAATAGTTCTTTAGTGTTAGTACTGTTACATATAGTCCGTATACATGTAAACACAAATGTTTCACGTTCATATTTTGCTATAGATGATTATTTATATTGTTTATTGTTTTACAGGAAAGCAAAACAACAAATACGAAACCTGTCAATGAATCAGAAACAAGATGAAGATGTGTACGTAAATCAAAGTTCAATCATTATTCAAGCAAATAAGAAAGATGTATCCGAAGATGTGTGTATTCTATGCCAACTGAGCAACATATCTACACAGATTTGAAGACAAAATAAGCAACACGAAATTATTTACAAAAATCATTAATGTATTATTATTTTGTCAAATTCTGAATAATCTTTTTTTTTTCTCTCTAACTTTATTTCACCATCATTTTCTCTGATTTTCAATCATTATGGTCAATATTATACAATCAATATTGTAGACTTTTAAGCCAAGTTCCAGAGGGAACACATTTTTTTTTATGTGTTGTACAACTGCTTTTTCTAAGACACATATATTAAGAAAAAATACAGAATTTTTAATATTTAAAAACGGGGGTTATACTGACCAACGTTTGATTGAAATCAACCCAACCGTTTGGCTCTAGTATCGTTTTGAAATGTTGCCAGCTGAAGAAGAGGAATCCGAAGAACGCAAAGAAAACAGAAGCCAGTCTACCACCTGCGGCTGACTAAGGCTTAGTTCAGACTAGGTGGATAAACCCGGCTCAACTCACCGGGTTTATCCACCTGCCAGTCTGAACTAGCTGGCTTATATATATTATATTAACTAGGCCTGGCGCGCCACCGTGTTTAACTTTTCTAAGCCGGGCTTTAATCGTTGCGAGGGGGGGGGGGGTCTTGCATTGCCTTGACTTCCGGGTAACAAAATGACCAATCAACAATCAATTACGTACGCTGTGTGCGAGCGCACGTTTCGCGAGGAGCAATGTTTTGAAACACGTTTCCTGGTTACGGTTCATTATTATGCAAATTCTCGCCTGGCTAAACCCGCTAGTCTGAACGCCTGGCAAAGTTAATCCGGGCTTAACGTTGAGCCGGGCTTATCTCCAAGTCTGAACGTAGCCCAAGTAAATAACGGAATCATTTCAATTTCAGTTATTTTACCAATTCCAAAGTTTCAAACATTTTGGCATTTATGCAAAACCGACCTGCACACCTGCGAAATCGGAAGACACAGGATGTGTGATTTGCTCATATATGGTTGTGATATGACGACATTATATGGGCATTCCACACAAGTTTGCCTCATAAAGTTTGCCTCATAGAGTATGGATCGAGCTTAAATCAAACATAGGCCTACACATTTTTTGTTCCTTCTAATAGAAAAGATCTTTATGGTCATTCCACATTTTTGGCTCCGCCCCAGCATTTTCTGATGAGTTAGAGCAATTTGAAATTTTCATGAGATTTGGCTAAAAAACTCACTTTCTGACAGACAACTGCTGATATCTCTCTTGAAACTCAACGTATATAAATTCTAATACCGTTGGATAGAGAAGAAGATTCTCTTTCCAATGATATGCAACTCGATGATGTCCGGACTAGTGACAATTATTTAGGTCAAGTCACGTGACCTTGACCTTTAACTGAAAATATCACAAAAGTATATATCTCGATTTTTGGAAAATTCACACCTCAGTTAGGACACTTAGCCCACATGATGCCCCTAAAGTTTAATTGTGGGCAAATGAAATATATTAGCTCTAGACTAGGTATTGATAGTTTCACTGAGTTTCCAGCAAATCTGCTGATAGATTCTATAATAATTGGCACCATAGTATAGTGAAAAGTGAAAATCAGGGGCCCCGTGACCCTTTTTGTGGGACTAAGGTTTCACTGCTGATTTATCATCACTAGCGTATAGATAAGCAATTGAGCGAAGGAAAAACTCTAGAAAAAGGGCGGAACATATGTTTTTGGTGGCCATTTTCAAAATGGCCGCCAAAATTCTGATATTGACTAATAACTTCAATTATATCCAATGAAAAAGGGCAAATCTGGTGTCTAACTATATGTTATTATGGTCACTGAAGCCAATGAGACAGGTTTTGAAAACGTAAAATGGCAGCCATATTGAAATTCAAGGTGTCCGCCTTAAAAATGGTAAAATAATGTTCAGTATAATTCCACATTTCCTCTATGGAAAATGGTAAATTTAGATCTAATCATATGATTTTGGGCTCTCTGAATACAATAAATATAGTTTCAAAAATTAAAAGTTATGATGGTAGCCGTTTGAAAATTCAAGATGGCCGCCATAAATATCCTCAAAAATCGAATATTTTAGTTTGTAATTCCAATTCTCTGATGAAAAACGCTAAATTTGGTGTCAAATTATATGGTTTTGTGTCAACTGAGTTGAATCAATAAATATGATTTCAAAAAGCTATGATGGCAGGCATTTTAAAATTCAAGATGGCTGCCATGAAAATTGTCAAAAATCAATATATAGAGAGACACAACATGTGATTAGACACGAAATGTATTGATTTTCGACAATTTTCGTGGCGGCCATCTTCACTATTAAAATGGCTGCCATCCTATCTTCTTTGAAATCATGTTTATTAAACTCAGTTGACACAATAGCATATAATTTGACACCAAATTTAGCATTTATCATCAAATAGAAGTGGAATTACATACCAGAATATTCATTTTTTGATGGTTTTTATGGCGGCAATCTTGAATTCAAAATGGCTGTTATTCTAGATTTATAAAACCATGTATATGTTAAAACATCAAATTTAGCAATTTTCTTATGGGAGAAGTGGAATTATATACTAAAATATTCGATTTTCAGGATATTTATGGCGGCCATCTTGAATTTTAAAATGACTAACATCCTAGCTTTTTGAAATTATGTTTATTGTATTCAGAGAGCCCAAAATCATATGATTAGATCCAAATTTGCCATTTTTCTTAGAGGATATGTGAAATTATACTGAAATATAATTTGTTTGACGATTTTTCATCATGAGTTTCAATATGGCTGCAATTTTACGTTTCGAAACCTGTCTTATTAGCTTCACTGACCCTAATAACATATAGTTAGACACCAGATTTCCCCTTTTTCATTGGATATAAGTGAAGTTATGAGTCAATATCATAATTTTGGCGGCCATTTTGAAAATGACCGCGAAAAAAAAATATGTTCCGCCCTTTTTCTGGAGGTTCTCCCTCGCCTAATTTTCTTATTTATACCCTAGTGATGCTAAATCAGCAATGAAACCTTGGTCCCAGAAAAATGGTCACGGGGCCTCTGATTTTCACTATACTATGGTGCCAGTTTCATAGAATCTATTCAGCAGATTTCCTGGAAACTCAGTGAAACTATCAATACCTAGGCACAAAATGTAGTCTAGAGCTAATATATTTCCAAAAATCGAGATATATACGTTTGTGATATTTTTGGTCAAATGTCAAAGTCACGTGACTTGTCCTATATAATTCTCAAAAGTCCGGACATCATCGAGTTGCATATCATTGGAAAGAGAATCTTCTGTTCTATCTAACGGTACCGGAATTTCTCCAATACGTTGAGTTTCAAGAGAGATATCAGTCAGAAGGTAAGTTTTTTAGGCAAATCTCATGAAAATTTCAAATTGCTCTAACTCATCAGAAAATGCTGGCGCGGAGCCAAATATTTCAGTGTGGGGTTATCTCAGGTAGAACGCCCAACATGCAAAATATTGGGCGATTTGAAGGGGGTCGGGCAAAAGTGTGTTGGATTCATATGTAATGACTCTTTATTGTTAGTACTGTTACATATAGACCGTATACATGTAAACACAATTGTTTCACGTTCATAGTTTGCTATAATGGATTATTTATATTGTTTATTGTTTTACAGGAAAGCAAAACAACAAATACGAAACCTGTCAATGAATCAGAAACAAGTTGAAGATGTGTACGTAAATCAAAGTTCAATCATTAATCAAGTAAATAAGAAAGATGTATCCGAAGATGTGTATATGTATTCTATGCCAACTGAGCAACATATTTACACAGATTTGAAGACAACATAAGCAACACGTGGTTGATACAAACCTACGGAATTATTTACAAAATCATTAATGTATTATTCTTTTGTCAAATTCTGAACAATTTTTTTTTTCTCTCTAACTTTATTTCACCATTCTTTTCTCTGATTTTTAATCATTATCGTCAATATTATACACACTACTGTAATAATATAATGTTGTCAATGAACAATTACATAGTTAATTTGCATAGTTAATATAGATGAAAACAAGTAATAGGCCTAAGCCAGTAAATTGAGATTATCAAAACAATTTTGAACGCAACCTTACCATACATATACTTTTATCGTCTTTTTTCACACAAAAAAACAAATTTGACGAAAAATTCGGGAGCGGTTGATGACATACAGATTCCTTAATCTTTAATTTAAAAACTGGTGCCAAAGGCGGCAAGAAGAGTGGTTGCGCTCCTTTTTCTCCCATTGTTTTAATATTGAAAAATCTGTAACTCTTCAACTACTCTCCTACTTTTTTTGTCAAATAAACTTTGTGTCATAGTAAAGTCAGTTGTACAACATATCACAAACATTTGTTTTGTTTTGTTTTTTTTTGCTCCAGAGCCTGGCCATAAATTATTATTATTGACTGTATAAAAAGCAGCTATTGATAAGTTGGTTGAATACTATTGTTCCTGCTTCTTGTGCTGACGTTCACCCGTTCAATCCTCGTTAGCTCCAGACATTTTTTACGTTCAATTTTTACAATGAATGAATGGAATGTTTTATTAACAATTGTTCACAATACTTACGAGCGGTAAAGTCAGGGGAACCGTAACCTTTAGCTTGGCGCTGGTTCGAACGGCTCACTCGCCAATGGTTCTGGTGGTGGAACAAGTCTTCTCGTATAAAGACATTAAATCGTAGGCCCAGTTTTGGCTCCTCTACACTTTAAAGAACCCAGTACATTCTTCGAGAAGAGTAGGGGGTTACCCAGGTGTACTGCTCCATTAAGTCCCCTGTTAATTGGATATGCCAGGTAGGACAGTGATTACTTTTACTTATTGGCATATCCTAGGGGCTCGTTCCGAAGGAAATAGAATGAAAAAAAAAATGAAATCAATACTTAATGATGGTCACAAAACCAGTAGACTTTTAAGCCAAGTTCCAGGGGGAAAAAGTTTTTGATGTGTTGTACAACTGCTTTTTCTAAGACACAAAAAGCATACTTTAAGAAAAAATACAGAATTTTTAATATTTAAAAAATGGGGTTATACTGATCAACGTTTGATTGAAATCAGCCCAACCGTTTTTGGTTCTAGTAGCGTTTTGAAATGTTGCCTGCTGAAAAAGAAGAATCCGAAGAACGCTAAGAAAACAGTCAGAAGCCAGTTTACCTGCGGCTGACTAAGTAAATAACGGAATCATTTCAATTTCGGTTATTTTACCAATTCCAAAGTTTCAAACATTTTGGCATTTATGCAAAACCGACCTGCACACCTGCAAAATTGGCAACGTAAGAGTTAATGACTATCGTTCAGTGGCTTTAAATTCTACGACTTTTGTTTTCATTTCTGGTTTTATTATCAAACTCATTGCAAAATTAATTGAAGTATGAAAAGGTTTACAAAAGCAAAAAAAAATAGTGCGAAAACCCCCCCAATGACAATAAAATACATCAAGAGTAAAAAAAAAGTATCAGCTCAAAAAGGGTAAAAATATTCAAAAAGATAAAAGACCATTAACAATAAAAACTATAGACCAAACACCAAAAGCAACTGAAACACAAAACAATTACAGCAATAAAATCGATAATTAATATCAAAGGGCAACACTCAAAAATCATACAACATCCAAATTATTATTATCATACAAATTCATTATTGTTGTTAATAAATATTATTGAAATATAAGATTTACATAAATATAAATAATGGAGACTGTAGTAAAGTCATTATAAAGTCAAGAAGGGGAAGAATAGTTCCTACCCCGCTAGAAATTATTGAGTCCACTTGAGATTCCGAAAGAATATATATGGTCAACTTATGCGGATTTTAAGTTACTCGAAATGAGTATTAACACAAAGCTAATATCATAGATTCTCAGTTTCCTGTGGGAGAGACCACAATTTTGTGAAAATAGGTAGTACGATGTAAGATTCATAAGTATGCCGATAACACATTACGGTAATAATTGGCTATTTAAGAAACAACCAATATAAATAAATTAAGTTAACCGGTTTTTTGCATGGTGTGTTTACCACAATTAGAAACTAAATATTAGTAATACAAAGAAATAATCATTTACTTTAGAAGGATAGGCACATGACACGCCCATCTAACTATTAAATAAGCTGCTGTCGAACAGGTACAAGAATGTAGATATTTTAGGTAGGCCTACTACTATCATTAATAAATTAATAAGATGGGTTGGAACACTAACTCAATATTATGATTATTATAGTATAATAAAACTCGTCAAAGACTACACTTCCTTAGGAAACTTGTTGACAACACAAATTGACAAATGTTGTGTTGTCAATACCTTTAAACTTATTTATCAATCTGTCATACAAAGTATTTGTACAATAGGGTTTTTATTCATGGTAATATGTTTAAAGTAAGTAAAACTAAATTTGAACGAATAAACTACTCTGTAATGATGGACAACACTTATATCTTGCGTGAGTTATTTATTAACTATGGATGGATGGGTTTATTCTAGAATCTAGTAGAGCAGCTAAGTGTAAAAATATTGGCAAGTTGTGCCATGGGCGCAGATTATGGGGACAGGGGTACAGGTCCTCCTTACATATTTTTAATTGGGGGTTAGTCCCCCACTTTTCGGCTGCAATGTGATTTCATAAGTCAAAAAGATGCCTGAAAATTGTTGAAATGAACTGCATAAATGACCCAGGTTTTAACGAAAGAGCCTTGTACTATGAGGCGTAAAATGTACTTTTATTATCTAACAAAATTATATACATATACTGTAATGTAAAATGTTGAATTATATATTAAATAATGATTTATATATATATATATATATATATAATTTTGTTACACAATGAAGTACATTTGGCGCATTATACATAAATATCTTAATAATTTGTGTGATGTACTATAAAAAATTAAAGCATTGTCTTTTATGTATTTATTTTACTTTACTTAAAGCCATAAAAAATAAAACTTAGGCCTAATTGTCTTTCATGTATTTACTTTAATTTACCTAATTCATGTGCCGAAAACCAATCTTATACCTCCCAAATCATAACAAAGGCACACACCCTCAGGTCGTGTAGTGTGAGGCGCCAAACGTATTTTCATTATTTAACAAAAATTATATATATAATTAATTATTCAATATATAATTCAACATTTCATTTAATATATATGTTTTTTACCGCCAACAATAATAATAATAATGAATTATATGTATATTGTTTTGTTAAATAATGAAAGTACATTTTTCGCCTCATAAAATTCTAGATAAAATATCATAATAAATTTGTTGGCACTTCATTTTGACTATAACTGTGATGTGGTGATGATGAATTTGACTATACAGGAGAGTCATTTCCGGCCATCTAGAGGTACTATTTTCTCAAATTTTCGCACCTCAGCCCCAACAATGGTGGGTCTCAGGTGGATTTTAGTCTCACGGTCTGAAGTAGAGTAAATACATCAAAGACAATGTTTCAGAATTAATTTACTATGGTACATCACACATATTATTAATTAGATATATGGTTGTCGAAAATAGTTGATCATGATCATTTGTTGGCGCTTTATTTTAACTATAAGGGTGATGTGATGATGATGAATTTTAAGATATAAAAGTATCATTTCCGGTCATCTAGAGAGTACTATTTCCTCAAAATGTTTGCACCTCAGCCCCAGTATAATGGGGCTAAGGTGGATCTGGTCATATGGAATATCACCCCCCCCCCCCACGCACACACTCCTTTCAACAGATCTGCGCCCTTGCCCACTGGTTACCTGAAATCAACTACAGTACACGTCCCTCCTCCTATTCGAGAACTCTCTGATTCCCACTTTTCCAACGACCCAAATATAACAATCTTTTAACACAAAGCTAGCCTCTAATTGCAGACAAACCACGAGACCACCCTAGATTTTCAGGTCCCAAAGGCAGTGGTGGCGCCAGAGGGGCTGGAGCTATAGCCATCCCCCTCCCCCGTCGGGGAAGACGAGTAAATTTTGTCGGGGAAGACGAGTAAATTTTGTCGGGGAAGACGAGTAAATTTTGTCGGGGAAGACGAGTAAATTTTGTCGGGGAATAAACAAATAAAAAAATATATATTTACATGTAATGTTCGTTTAGTCACCACATTGTTTTCATTAAACTATTTGTGTTAATAATAATAATAATAATAATAATAGAAGTAGTAGTTCAATGAGACTAATTAAACATATGGTGAAGCAAACTCGACCATGACAGCGTGGTTGATATATTTCATGCAAAATTTTCCAAAATGTAGAATTTCACTTTCAAGAATGAGGATTTGAAAATAAATTAGATGGTTACATTGCATACGCTTCTTAGTTTCTTGTTTTAATCAAAATGTTTTGGTTTTGGAAGCTGATTTGAAGTCATATCATAGTAACTCGATGCCTATCAAAATTAGTAAAAAAAAATTTTCTCCATAATTCGTCAAA